ACTCTTCACAGTCTTCCACATAATTTGGCCCATCAAAATTAGTAGGACTATCAATGAAAGTAGACGGCTTTGTCTTGCTCCTGTCTTCGCTCCAAATGCTTCTGTGAGCCTTCTATTGTAAAACTGCTTGACATATTGCTAGCAACTGAGATTTATAAATGTTTACTCCACTGCATTCCACACCATTGTATCAGTTACCAAGTTACTTGGTCGCTGAGGATATTGACGATCTTTTCAATACTGAATTCTGTGCTAAATCAAGTTTTTAAAAACAACAATATAAACAGATGGTTGTTTTTCTCGTTTTGTTATTCTGGAAGAATTACAACTTACGTATAGATATCTCATCAATATCCTTAACTGTTAACGTCCAGTTGCACTCTTCATTGGCTGTGCTTTTCGCTACCGGTTTAAGAGGTAACACTTTTACTGCCTTCTTCTTTTAATAAGAAATAAGAAAACAACTTTTATGAATAGAAAATTAGTGATTGCACTTTATCATTGGAATGAACAACACACATAAAAATGGATTTCATTCAACTTTTCAGGCACTAAAGTTTGTTTGAAATTACTTTGTTTTCAGTTTATCTTCATCAAAACTTTTATATGATATTCACTTAAAACGAATCAATATCACCCGAGTTCTTACTACTTTAAAACTTATTACTGTCTCACCAACCTTCGAAGTGAACATCAGTATTTTTTATTACTATTTTTATTCCTTTACGTTCCCAATGGAACACAGGGCTTCAGGCTAGAGGCTTGAAGTTTCCATAGCAGTGGTGTTTATTTTTACGGGATGGGGTTGCTAGCCTCATGCCCAACCTTCCTTCTTTACCAGTCTTATTCCTGGCTTAGCGAGGTAAAGGAGTGCGTCAGTGGCCAGGAATCGAACCCCGAACCACGTGAGTGGTCGGCGAGCATTCTACCGCTATGCCGCCTACGCGAATACCAGCACACCACTATTAAATAGCTGTAGATTATATTTCCATAGTACTAATTAAAGGCCATGATTGGTAAAACAAGCATAGTTGAGGGTAAGTACAATTACTTTCTGAATCACAGTTGTGCAACATTTCTGTGAATTATCAGAAATTATCAGTTACAGGTAACTGGAATCCAACTTTTTTATTATAGCTTGATTCCACACAGTATTTTTGGTACAGGTATGGAATTTTCAGCATGTGATATCGGTAGCCCAAATTTTGCAGGCCAACCATAGATATCAAGTGTGCATCGGCAGGGGATCGAACCCCGGACCATGTGCATGGTCGGCAAGTGTCCTAACCACTGTGCTACCGACGCACTTAATAGTTTAATATCGAAATGCCCTATGTAAGAGTTCATTATCTCATGTTCTATCCTCAATATGCATGCATTCAACCACTGTCGATGACTCAAGCGAATGGAAGTCGTAAGTTGAAAGTTATTACGATGAATACTTTTCTTAAGAATATAATGCATTACAATAAATATGTTTCATATAGACAGAACACATTTTAAAAAAATAAATATTTATACCTTTTTCTTAGTGTTCGTTTTTGTGCTTTCGAGAATTTTCCTGTCACTTATTGGCTGTAGTTTGCCTCCTTTATAAATTGCTAGAAATAATTAGAGATAAATAACCATTTGTAAGGATCTGTAGTCAATGACAGACTGGGAATATACACCTAACACTTTCCTGCTACATTATTATTAACTATTTTAGTAGCTCACATTACCATGTAAAGGATCCAGGAAAAATATGTGTTAAGAGTATTACCATTTATGAAATTTTCACTCATCCTACTTTCAGTTTCGACAACCATGTTCTTTGTATTTTATTGGTTTATGAACTATAAATTTTCGTGATCCATTGTATCTTTTATCAAACACAGGTGTATTTTATGTGAGTCAAATTCTCAACTTGCAAATAATTTGCTATTCGCAGTTTGCACATTTCGAGCTCAAACTTTGCCATAGTTTTCTATGGAAACCAAAATTAATCAGATCTGCCCGATACCAAAAATGGCAATCAGGAAGGCAAGCAGATCACACATTGTGATTTGAAAAATTTCAATTTCCGTAGGAAACTGTGGTGAAATTTCACCGCGGATCGTGTATATTGCAAATAGAGAATTCGATTCAGTATGTCACCAGATGGCCAGCCAGAATCATAGCCATTTGAGCCGACTCGGCTCATTGATCTGAGTCAAACTTCCCGCACCACTGAGGACCTCGGGAACAAAATAGCTGTCCAGAGTTGACATCACTTCGATCTGGCTAGCAAGCATTACTAGTTTAGGTGAATGTCATCCAACTACTCATATTAATCAGTTAGTAGTATATAACATTATGCATATTTTATGCGCGTCGGTTGATAATTTTCTGTGTATAACGAATCACAAACGGATTGATCTTTTGGAGTAATATAAATAAGTATATATATGTCTATAATGGTCTATTTATCAATCCGAAAAATGATAGCTTTCAGTATAGCTAACCAGAAGGAGATGATGACCAAAGCCAGCTCCGTTGGGTTTCAATTAATTTATCGAAGCAACCAGACTGAAACCATATTAGCTTTCTGTCTGTTCTTAACTGTTCACATTATTTGTTGCAGATTTGTTTTCAACAGGCTATTATGCCATTGTTGATGACACCATATCCTTATGTCTTCAGAAATAAGTATTCTTTTATCTCTTATTTCGTAGAGAGAGTGATGTCTGCAGCTCATGGAGCGAATTTTCTGACAGATATTTCTTCTGGAGTAGAAAGTTTTACTAGCGGAACTTTCATTGATATTCTAATCACAATTTAGTTGAATTTGATGGTGATAATGGTCCTTTACGAGTACCTATACAGATT